TCTGGAATAGGCAAGTAATGCCACCTGTGTGGAGTCTGGGTCTGGATCCAGAAAAGAGCCTCCTTTTTGACAGGTGAGTGCTGTATGAGAAGGGATTCCTTCCCTCCCTCAAGTTAGCTATTACTGTGACAGATGTGATGGCAGGGGCTGCTGCAGTCAGGTTGCCACCATGGGGAGGGAAGGCTAAGGGCAGGGCAGAGAAGCTCTTTATAATTCTGCACCTGATTCCAGTGTGTGTGTGTGTGTGTGTGTGTGTTGTGTTGTGCGTCCAACACCAGCAGGTGTCCTACCTTCAACTCAATCCTGACACCACCTCCCTGAGACAGCACTGGACCCTGAGGGTTAAGGGTTTACTCAGTTGCACAAGAGTCTCCTTCCACCCCCTACTTCAGATGCCATGTGCAAGTCCTGGCTGTCACCTCTGCTTCTGGTTGTAGATGGAAGGGTCCAGAGGTCACCTCCTTGGGTTTGGTTGATGTGCTGGGGGCAGCTCACAAGATTCTCTGAGACATCTGAATTTCTAGATTGCCAGTTTATTATACTAGGATATGGCCTAGGAACAGCTGGGTGAAAGAGATGCCTGGAGCAAGGTTTGGGGAAAGGGTGTGGAGCTCCTAAGCCCCCTGCAGGTACATCATGCTCCCTCAATCACCTCTTGTTCTCAAACCCAAAATCTTCGGAAACCCACCCTCTTGGGGGTTTATGGACATTTCAGTACCGAGGCCTGGTTTATTCGCTCTGCCCAGTGGAGGCTGCATGCAAGCTCCAGCCCTTCTCCCCGCGACTAGGAGGCTGTGGGGTAGAACTCGGGGCTCCAAGCTCACAAGGCAGATGCTTAGCCTTCCTCATTAGAGGGGTCCAAAAGGGACCTCGTTAATATAACAGAGGACACCTCTGTGGCTCTCATCACTTAAGAAGTTCCAAGATTTTTCAGGATCTCTGGGCCAGATATGGGACAACCACTGAAGAACTATACCATTACCTGTTCCTTATTACACAACACCATGTCCCCTTCTGATGTCGGTGAGCAACTGAGTCACACCTGGAGCCCACTCCATCCTGCTGCAGCTGGAGGACACTTCCGTCTGGGGGCCACCTTGGCTGCCACTCTAATATAGACAGCTGGCAGTGGTCTTCCTCTCATTTCCCTCAGCCACACCCACCGCCCTATAGTCTACATAGTCCTTCCTGATGGCCACAAGAAAACAAAACTGAGAATCGTGAAAATGGGCAATGAGGAAGGAGAGGTGTTGAGAAGAATCTGGTTTATCGGTGGGTGTGTGGAAAGTGCAAAATTCTTTTTTTTTTTTTTTTGCTTTTTTTTCTTTTGGGTCACACCTGGCGATGCACAAGGGTCACTCCTGGCTCTGCACTCAGGAATTACTACTGGCGGTGCTCAGGGTAGCATATTGGATCCTGGGAATCAAAACTGAACAGCTGCGTGCAAGGCAAATGCCCTACCCGCTGTACTATCACTCCAGCCCCGAGTGCAAAATATTCTTGGTTTGTTCCAGGTGCCAGGACAGCTGAGCTAATAGAACCAGGAGACAAGGTTTTAGTGTCCATTGCAAAAAATGCTGTCGGTGGCCCGTGTGGATCCCTCTAACTGCTTTGTGCATCCAGTCCAGCTCCTGGCTCTAGTGCTGCACCCACCAGCTCCCTCATGTGACCTTTAGCCTGTGCCTGACCCATGTGGGAGCCTCAGGCTCCTGGGGCCCAAGGTGGCTGAACTCCAGCTGGAATGTGCATTCCAAACAGTTGGGATTTCACCTCAACTGCATCCTTGTTTGGTTCCCTTTCCTTCCCAGTCCTGTCGTACATGGAGGTGTGGAATCGCTCTGTGGAGTCTGGAGGGGGCACCAAGGGCTCTCCAGCTCTTTTGACGTGAGTGCCAGTGGGGTTGTGGATCCTTCTCAGGCTGCCCTGGACATTGGCCCAAATTCTCACAACCACCATGCTCAAGGGCAGAGTTGACAAGGCTCACTCTAACCCAGCCTCAGATCCTCCCACAAATGCTTACTTCACTGGCATGTGATTACACACACACACACACACACACACACACACACACGCACAACACACACACACACACATATATTGTCCCCATATTCTCATGAGCTTGAGGAGAGACCTATAAGCCAGGCTCTGATCGGTAGAAGTCTCTGACGCCTCAGAGCCTGTCCTGTTTTTCTATTTTTTTTAAGAAGCAACCAGGAAGACCCAGGAAAGAAGGGGATATTAGTCCCATCCAGACTCACAAAGCTCTGCCCACGAAAGCATCTCCCTTCACAATGAAGTCTTAACTCTTGGCTGAACCGACTGGCCAAGATCTTGCCCTTGGTGGTGTAACCCTTGTGCTCAAGACAACATCATTGGGTTCCCAATTTGGTCACTGCTCTGGGAGCACAGCAGTGATTGGCTGTCCTGGTTGCTTGTTCCATTCACGTAAGAGCTAATATAGGTCTCTCCTCTCCCCAGGCACAGGTGGCAGAACTTTCCATGTATCCGTGGTGCCTCCTGTGTGTCCCGGGGTGGAGGATGGCTAAGCAGGAAGGAGGCACCCACCTGGGCACCTGGTGGCCTGGTCTTGGTTCCTGGTGAGAAGCTGCTCAGCCTTCATCGCTTTCTCTCCTCTTTTGGACCATTTCTTCTATTTGGTAAATTATCTCTACAAATGTCAAGCATGTGACTTCTCAGAAATGCAACATTTCCCAAGTGCATCCAATGTGGCCATAAAGGCAAAGGAAGTGGAGTCAGCAGGATGGATATATGGGGACAGGGACTCTGCTCCTCCTTGCGGCAAAGGCACAGAACTGGGTGTATACTGGGCATGGGAAGTTCTGTCTTCCTGGGAGGAGCAGAGAACGTGCCAGGGCAAGGGAGGTGGAGTGTGGGCACTTACCACTCGGCCACAGACTTTCTTGAATGATGTGAGCTGACTCCTGTGCTGTGCCTGCAGGATGGCAAACATAACTTAAAAAAAATGACAGTTTATCATTAGACAGAACACAGGAGTAATTTACCAGCACACTCAGAAGTGCCACTCCGCACAATAATTTAGCCCTTATAAAATCATTCTCACTTTCCTGTTCTTTTCACCTATATTCAAGGAGGAAAAAAAAGCAAAGCTTGATCTTCAACTGACTAGCAAAAACCTCAATTAATTACCCAGAGAGATTTGCTTTTTTTTTTTCCAGCCTGAACACTTTAATGCCCATTATCAAAGTCTCGGGCAGTCTGAGGGAGAGATTTGCACGCCACCTTCCTATCACACGCCAGGAAACTGACCCAGCAAAATAATTTTAGAGGACATGCCAGTGCCTTCCCTTTGATGGGTACCCTATGAATTTTCATATTTTCCTTTCTCTCATGCCTGCCAGTTAGGAAAGACTGTATTTTAATTAATATGCTTTATTTGACTAAGTACCTGGCATCCTGTTCCTTCGGTAGAAGAGTCATGTATTTTGTCCCGAAGTAGGAAAAATAACCATTTAATGAGTGCTTCTTGTCACTTTTGACCAGATATTTTGGGAGGCAGTAACAAACAGATGCCTAGGTTATCCGGTTTTTTTGATTCCAGAAAATGTTTTTGTGTTGTGGTTTTTGCCCCTATTAATGGGTAGTCATTTTCCAGTGCATGCTTATTAGCAGCTGTCATTCTGTCCTTTGTCCATTGCCTGTGAGTGCCACTTTAGGCATCCATCCTTACCTCAACTCTGCTGGCCATGGGCATCACTGGGGTTTAGAAAGACATGGATGGGGCCACAGCCCCAGGTAATGTGCCCAGGGCTGTTCTCTGCATACAAAAGTGCCAGGTTCAATTCTCCAGCACCTCTGGGGGTGGTTTCTGATGAAAAACCAAAGCCCAAGTCAAAAACAAATACATGAGTGTTTAAGCCCCTGACTGAGAGATTCTTATTCCATATACAAGGGAGAGGGCCAGGAATCAGGCTGTCTGGCAGAACCCCCAGGTCGGAACCAGTGTGTTAGCTCTAGTGAGCTCTTTCTAAGCAGGAAGCAATGCTCTCCCTTTTATTAATTATTATTATTATTATTATTATTCGGCTGGTTCTGGAGGTCTTCGGCTGCCGGAACTCTGCTCAGGGCGGGGAGGGAAACTCAACCCGCCCCCCTGCAAGGGGCCCCGGTGAGGACAGCCAGGTGCGGGGGCAGGAGACTCTGCGCTGTTCTCTTCTGGGAGCTGGATTTTATAGTCTCTGGGTCTTGGCCGTTGCATTTGCAGTCGTGCAACATCTTATCTTATTCTTACTTTGGACAACCTGGCAGGCTACCAAATGTAAGCTGCCCACACGGCAGGGTCTGGCAAACTCCCTGTGGCATACCCGATATGCCAAATACCAGTAACAATGACGGGTCTCATTCTCCTAACCCTGAAAGAGCCTTGAATATGGCACTTTTTAAAATCTCAGGGCTAGGATGAAGGAGACGTTATTGGTGCCTGCCTGAGGCAATTGACGAACAACAGGATGATTGTGATTATTATTATTATTATTATTATTATTGCTTTTTGGATCACACCTGGCAATGCACAGGGGTTACTCCTGGCTCTGCACTCAGGAATTACTCCTGGCAGTGCTCAGGGGACCATATGGGATGCTGAGAATCGAACCCAGGTCATCCTTGTGCAAGGCAAACACCCTACCCACTGTACTATTGCTCCAGCCCCTCCCCAGAACCTGCCACAGAGTTGAGTGTATGACAGGCACTTCACATCAGCTGTGAGTCCTCCTGGAGTAACCTTGGAGGCTTAGTGCCCTCACATGCCAATAACACCCCCCTCGGATGCTCTTCCCATAAACTCTCTATATAGGAAGAGTCTTGGACCATCCTGGATTCTAAAGAAGAAGAACTTCTGTCACACTTGAAGTTCTCAGTTCATCCTCAGGCCGTGTTCTATTACAAGTTGATAGATTTAAAATAAAATATTGTTTCAAAAGGCACAGAAGTAAATCCTAGCACGTGAAGCAAATGGCATAAAGAGCAACATTACCCAATGACTTTAATTTGTTCTGAAGTGTAGAGAACACGGCACAGAATGAACACCCATGTCCTTCATATGGCTTTCAGGCTGCCCAAACACAGAAGCCAAATGATCACTTCTTGGTCTTCTTTTAATGGATTAGTTGAAGGGATGACTGATGAAGGACTAGTCCACTACTTCCTTCACTAGCCTCAGGACTCTGGGGTCTCGTCTTTATGCCAAGCACAGTGGGATCCAGTGGTGACATCTTCCTGGTCTCACAGAGCTTCCATTCACACGGAGGAGCTGGAACAAAGGAACATGCAGTAAGCCAGCAGACAGCATATCTTTTAGATGACGGTAAGTGCCATGAAGAAAAAGGTCTGCTTTGGAGGAGCTACTGGAGGTGATTTTGCCTGGTAATCAAGGAGGGCCTCTAGGAGGAGGTCATCTTGGAACTGAGGTCTGAGTTTCTCAGGGCAGACTGTTCTGGGAAGAAAGATGACAAATGCCTAGTGGCAGGAAGGAGCTGGCCATTTGAGTACTAGAAAGGCCAGGGGCCAGAGCTCAGCAAGTGAGGAAGCCTGAAATGAAGGAGTCAGGGTCCTGATCCTTGAGTGCCGTCGTGAGGCATTCAGATGGAGACAATTAAAAATGGCGGATGGCACCTTCCATTTCTGCTTTAGCAGAACCAACGCCCCTGAAGGTGTTCCTTCCCTGAAGGAAGATAGATAATGAGCATCCTAGATCTCTTCATTGACTCAACCAATAACAATGTTTAACAAGAATTTTCTTTACCTCTGAGCATTAGAAAAGACACTGCAGAGTTTGGTCAGCTCATGTGAATAAAACTATCTTCGCCCATATAGGCTATCTGGCATGCCTTTTCTTTCATTCAAACTTCCCTTCAGATATCACATCCCCAAGGCCTGGTCTCACAAGGGAAGTGATAGTCTCTCACTCAACACCCTCACTGTTTCCGCTGGTTGTTATGGGTCCTACAGGATTACCCTCAGCATGCTCAAGGATCTGGCAGGGCCTGGGGGTCCTATGTCATGCTGGGAATTTAAATCTGGTTGACTACGTTACAAGGCAGGCACCTGACCCACTATACTATCTCTCCAGCCCACTATAATATTTCCAATCTCTTTGTTCATTTCATATGCAACCCTTAACAGAATGTAAGTCTTTGAGGTCAAAGACTTTGGCTATTTCTCTTCCTCCTGCTATATTCTCAATACTCAGCACAGTCCTTGGCACACAGCATATGTTTGACAAACACTAGAAGAATAAATCTTTTGGAATAAAAGCCCCTGGGTTTTGCTCCATTTATCTGGGGAAAGGGCAGTTTGGGGAGCCCCAGTGTTCTTGGGCTTCTATTTCCTAAGCCCATTCGTGTTTCTTCTAATCTTTCTGCCTTAATCATTTTAAATGTACTGACAAGCACAATTGACCAATTAATAGCGCTTATGCTCTTGTTACATCATTTGCAATCCATGATGCTCTTTCTATTTGTAACGGTCTTTCAATTTTTCATGACTCAAAATGGAGGACATACATAATGAATACAAATAGCAAATTGATTAAATGTAATGCATATTCTACTGCTTGCTGAGTTTATGCCTGTTATTAATGACAGAAATCCAGCAAATTCTCATGAAAACACCAATGACATACAACCTTTAATGCAAGATGTTGGAATACTAGAGGCCCTAAATTTTCCTAATTACCAAGCAACAGCAGACATTAATTTCCCAGATGGCAACCTTTGTAAATAAGAACATCAGCATGACTGCTTCGTCCAAGTTCTTTTTGCTGAGCACAAAACCCGTCACGCTACCCATTTTTACTTCACCAGACTATTTGTGTTGTGATTTGGGAAAAAAAAAGATACACTTGAGAGATTGCCTTATGAGCAAAGAATAAAGGACGCCACTTGTGCAAAATCAAATTTATTGTCTACTCAAAGGCTGTGTGGTTTATTTTTTATTTTTTTGAATGCTAATACACTGTAATACAGATTTCACAGAGTTCTAGCTGGTGTACTGAGCATTTAAGCATCACAAAGGTGATAAAGCAAAACGAAAAAGAAAATGGGGTTCAGAATCTGAGGTGGAGCCTATGAGAGAGGGGCTTCTCTCAAGAGACCTCTCTGGATGCCAGTGCCATCTTGTTTCAAATTGAAAGCTTTTGGTTGGTTTGCTATAAGAAGCCACATGAACTAGCCCTTTTTTTTGCCCACTAGGAAAAAAACCTTCTGGGCAGAGATAGTTCTTAGACATGCTGGCAGGAACAGTGACTTGTGTACCAAGGGAAGTGACAGAAAAGCAGTGAGGCAGTTGCTGATGGTGTCCTGGAGTGCACAGAAGCACCTGTGGGGTGCTCTCATGCTTAGAAATCAGCATTCACAGCATGAAGGATGGCTGAGACCTGCCAATGCTACGCAGTTCTCCCTCCTCCAATACAAACTGGCTGAATGAGAAGGAAAGTGGAAGGCGCCGATGGGGAGCTAACCATGGGCCTTGTTCCCTTTCCCAGCTGTCTAAACCCTGACACTGAGTGTGGACACTATTATAAATGGGAACCCCAGAAGCCAGGGATTTTCCAAGCCAACTGGTTGACTGAGTTGAGGAAGGGGAGGGGAGAAGAGACAAAAAAAAAAAAAGGCAGGCTTTATTTAGTTCGCTTTCACAGTGGCAACTGTGGTTGGCTCTCAGAGGGCAACCCTGGAAAGCTGTGCAAAGCACATATCAGAATTCCTCTAGTCAAGGAGAATTCAAGAGAGCTGGAGCACTTCTACCAGTATATCTAAAAGCCACTGCCCCCTGAGAGATTTTAATTCCCAGGTACTTTCAGCTTCCTGTGCTTGTAGATGAAGGGGGTTCAGTAACCCAGGGCAGGCTCGCTGGCAAAGATACAGCTGATTTAGGGGGACCCTAGCAGACACTGTCTTGAAACCTTCACCTCCAAATTTCTGAAGGTTCCATTGTTACTCTTGAAGCAAATGTCTGATAGACGTTAGAGCACTGGGCGTTAACACACTGTTGAATGTGATTTGAAAGGGGAAGGAAAGTAACAGACTCTCCTTGCTGAATTTTCCACTCGATGGAGATGGCAAAACAGATTTCTTGCTAAAATTTAGGAAATACACATGCCCTCCTCCCCCACTGTCATATGTCTATGTGAGAGAATAAAGAATTCACAACTAGGTCTAAAAAAAGAGCCCAATGCAGAAGAGAAATACATTCCCAGACCATAGAGTAAAAGAGAGTGCTAAGAGAGGGAAGGACAGACAGAAACAGAGCTTTCATTTATTGTAATTTTGGAGGAAAAAATCACAAAATAAGTTTGGTGCCTTTAAATACATTTCCCCAGATGAAGCCTGAGGTCCGTTATCTGTGTTGGAACCTTCTGATTGTCATGTGGAATGTGGTTGTCAGACAGGGTGTCATTTGTACTGGAAGGCATCATTTAAAACCAAAAAAAAAAAATAAATAAATAAAATCAAAGACAAGCTCTGCACTTCTTTTGATAGATTAGTTGTGAAAATCCTTTCTTAATATATAATAATAAGAATAATAAAACAAAATCATAACCACCTGCTTTTATGTAGTGCTTACTGTGAGTTTCAAAATGTTTTAACTCATTTACTATCAGAAACCTATCGTTAGCTTTTATTTCCTTCATTGTCACAGAAAGGCCCTCCCGTTGATCATCGATTTGCTCGAGCGGGCCCAGTAACGTCTCCATTGGAGACTTTGTTGTTACTGTGTCTGGCATATCGAATACTCTCGGTAGCTTGCCGGGCTCTCCGAGAGGGGTGGAGGAATCGAACTCGGGTCGGCCATGTTGGCTGGGTGCAAGGCAGACACCCTACCCGTTGTGCTAGGCCTCAGAGAAGTTAAGTAACCAGCCCAAGATCACTCAGCAAGTAAAGCTGGGTATAGAAACCAGGTGGTCTGACTCAGAATCACATCTCAGCTTTGCCTTTTGCCCCTCTGCCCCAATTACTTGTCTTGACCATCAAATGATGGTACATTGCAAATCCTGCCCTAATTGCCCGAAGTTCCAAGGTTGTGCGAGCGGAACAATGCCACCGAGTGAAACCCTCCCAAGCTGAAGCCCCTCCGAGGAAGAGTGAGGCTTTTGCTTCGCAAGAGGCATACCTGGTTTCCCTGCCAGGATGCCGAGTTTACGGTTCTAGAAAAACCTTTCTGGTTTTATCTGACCCTGAATTACCTGCTTCCTAAGTCTACAGAAACTCCCGCTGGAATACAGGAGATCAATTTCTTTTGCCTCTCATGGTTCCAGATGAGACGATTCAGCCACTAGACTCCAGATGGAGTGAAAACAGAAAACAAGGACATGGCACTTCTCTTCCACTAGCTTTCATTTGGCATTTACTAAACAAAAGAAGGGTGTCTGTGTGTGTGTGTGTGTGTGTGTATGTGTGTGATTATCAATGGAGCCATTGCTTAGAAAGCACTCAAGCAATTGCTCAGAGTCACATTTATTACAGTGTGATCCAGAGAGCTGACATTTTTCTCCCAGTAAGGCTTATAAATGCAAAGCCAGGGAGACCTCTCACTCTTCCAAACGTCTCTTCAGGAGAAGACAAGAGGGAAAAGCTCATGGCTGACAGTGTTAAAAGCTTGTGGTTTGCTTTTTCACGGTATTTCTATTCCAGTGTAAGTGTGTAGATGGCATAAGCACATATGTACATAAATGCTATTTGCTAAATTTAAGAGAAAGATGGTGTTCCCAGTTCTAACACTTAGGGATTTATAAGAGATAACGCTTTAAGAGCCAGCAAAATCCACTACTACACACACATAAAAGATCCTCTTAGTTCTCTAAATATTTAGGGAATTAATCTAGAGAAGGCCCGCTGCAGGAACCACTAAAGCTAGACTGGTTAAAACGGTAAGAACACACTAGGGAACAGTATATGTATACAAGAGCATGGGTATGGCATGTATATGTTTGTCTGTATATTGTGTGTGTACAGTGTCTGTGTATATATTGTGTCTATGAGTATATATGGTATGTGCAGTATACACTGTAAATGCATGTGCACGTGGGGTGTGTGTGTGTGCGCACGTGCGCGTGTGTGTGATTGTATATATGTGTATGGATAAACAGGGGAGAACACCGAATGTAAGCAAAAGTGTCCCATAATGTCATCATTCTGCCTTGATTCATTCTTTCTCATTGTTTCTACTCATCAAAAGCAGCAGCTTTGGAAATAACAGACCTGAGTCAGTCAGGAGATCTGTTTAGAAACGGACCAGTCACAGTGTCACAGT